CTACCTGGTCAAAAAAAAAAAAAGCACCCTTAAATATAAGCGTGAATTTCCCATTTTTTGTCAGACAGAATCCTGCCAGAGCTGCTTACTCTGGTGTTCGTGGTTTAGCCTACCTTTCTACTTAACTAAAAATGAACCCACTGTTGGGGAAGTACAAAAGTTAGCTTCAACAGGTGAGAGCAAGCCATGAAGAAACAAAGGAACTATAAAAAGACCAGTACAGAAAAAGCATCCTCCAGGACAGATCTTCCATGCACTAATGTATACGTTCACCTGGGGATCGTGCTAAAATGTAAGTTCTGATCTGATTCAGTGCACCTGGGGTGGGCCCCAAACATCCACAATTACTAACTAGTTGACATGTAAAGCCAAAAATGCTGGTCTGGAGCCCACACATGGGGTAGCAAAGATGTAAAATAAGTTTCTCAAACTTTTGACACAACCCATAGCAAAAGAAATACTGAACTTACAACCCACTGTTCACTATAAGCCTATGTCAGAGAGAAAGAGAATCACTGGTGTTGAGCTGCTCCTTCCCCAAGGATGCTGGAGCACACAGCAGTTGTCCTCTTCCTGTAATACCCTTAAGTGAGACTGGACTGGACGGATGGCAGCCAGCAAGACACAGAAGCTGGTGGATTACCAATACGTTTTGGAATCTTCTGAGCAAACCAAATGTAGGTTTTACTCTTCCCCAAGAAGATTCCTTTCCTACTTTAGTGACTTTCAATCCCAGCTAAGTCCTGGGATGAGCCAGACAGTCTAGAAATCTGGATTAGCCCACCTAGTGAGTTCCCACCTGGCAGATGACCTCGCCAGCCTTGTCTATTCAGAAAGGAGGATCAAGTTCACTCACACCAAAAATCACACTAGGGATTCTATCAGTTTAGAAATCCTCTCAGAAATCACTGCCAACCCTATACTACTGGTTCCCAACCCCCCTCCTGCCTCAACTCCTGGCACTCTTTCTCAGCTATAGCTGCCTTAACTTCTTGCCCTGCCTCCAACCTCCCACCTGCTCCTACCTTAGGGTAGGAGCACTCTCTGCTCTGGGCTTTTGGAAGATCCCTTTTCCCAGATACCTACACAGCTAATCTGATTCACCATCTTCAGACCTCTACTCAATTGTCACCACAGTAAAAAGCATTCCCTAGATTCCCAATCCCAACCTAAGTATTCCCTTACCACCCCACCTTCTTTGTTCATTTGTTATTGGGGGAAAGACATATTTGCATTTTTTTAAGAAAGAAAAACAACATGAAATGCATCACTTTAAGTATTACAATTCTGTGGAACATTCACATTGTTTTCAACCATCACCATCATCTATTTCCAGAAATATTTCATTTTTCCAAACTGAAATTCTGTAGCCACTAAAGAAACTCCCCCCTTCCCTTAACCCGGAAACCACCATTCTATATTCTGCCTCTATGAATTTGACTACTCTAGGTAACTTATGTAAGCAGAAATCCTACAACATGTTCTTCTGTGTCTAGCTTATCACACTTAATATAATGTTTTCAAGGTTCATCCACATTGTAGCATGTGTCAGAATTTCCTTCCTTTTTTAAAGCTGCATAATATTTCACTGCAAGCATAGACAACACTTTGTTTATCCATCCATCCATCGACAGACACTTGAGTTGTTTTTACCTTTTGGCTATTGTGAATATGTATGTTTTGAATACAAGTATACAAGTAACTACTCAAGTCTCTGATTTCAATTCTTTGAGGCATACACCTATAAGTGGATGCATCAGCTCCTATGGTAATTGTTTAATTTTTTGAAGAACCACACTACTGCTCTCCACAGCAGCTATACCACTTTGCATTCCCACAGGGTTCCAATTTCTCTACATTCTTGCCAACACTTGTTATTTTCTGTTCCCCCTTACCCTGCTTTATTTTTTCCACCATACTTATTACCTGTCATACTTGCTTATTTAAATTGGCCGCCTCCCCCAACTAAGATTCAAGCCTCTCAAGAACAGTCAATGTTGTATCCTAAGCACCAAGAACACACTTGGCACATTGAATAAACAACAAAACATCAGAATCACAACTTGAACAAACACTAGAGGCTGTTAAGTATATTTATCACACCAAATGCCTTCAACTATGTCCCATTTAGGGACTCTCCAAGTTTAATAGGTGATGGTTTCAGTAGTCTATTCAGCTCATCCTGAGTAGTAATCATCTCAGATCCACACACATTATGACAACTGGAAGGAGTCATGAAAGTTATGTCTGACTTCCAAGTCTAATTGCATTCATCAAAAGAACCACACAAAAATTTGAACAGCAAAAATGAACTAAAAATAATCACATGTACTTCTAGTTAGTAGAAATTCTGCAAATGCAATGTGTTTTATTTTAAAAGATCAAACCAACAGCAAACAAGATGGGACACTGGCCTTGAGTATACTCCTTAATTAGACATATCCAAGGACAGCTTGACCTAGAAACCTAACTCCAGGCCTACTTTTATTTCAGCTGTTTTTTCTGCTGTTCATATTTGGTGTTTGTTTTTTCATCTTTTTTTTTTTTTTAAGAGCTGCTTGTGAAAAAAATCAGACAGAATTTCCATGAGATCACCGTTAGCTAAAAAACCATGTGAGGATTTTTTTTTTCTTGAATAGGTTGTATACCACTTGGGTTAGGGTCAGAGTCAGTCTCTCCCCTACTCCTCCTCCAGTCTTTCTCAGCTGAAAATACTTTGTGGAAAATGACAACAGATCTTTCTCATGGAGTTAATACATTTCTTCTCTTCTAAGCAACCAGTCCATTTCTCTTCAAGAAAAGATGCCAGTTCCCTCCAAAAGGAAACTACTTTGTTTGAATGGATACCACTGTCAACCCCAAGTGACAATGTGGAGGCCAGAGTGATTCATTTGGAACACAAAGAACTTTCCCTGACTGATAAGAAAGAGAAATCTTGATAAGATTTTCTATTCTGATTTAAATTAGTCAAAAAGCAGACTGAACTTTTAAACACACACACACACACACACACACACACACACACACTCACATGTACACATAAACCCACCTGAAAGAAACAAACAAAAAAGAAATTTGGCTGGAGGAGTGACTCAAGTGACAAGAGTGCCTGCCTAGCAAGCATGAGGTCCTGAGTTCAAGCCCAGTTCCACCAAAAAAAAACAAAACAAAGAAGAAATGGTCTGCCCAACCAGCCACCAGGCAAACAGGTACATGAGAAGCTATCAATACTTCACAGATCAGATGCACTGCAATTCAAACTCTCAAATTATTCAGATGGAGAACTGCCTGACCCTTTTAACCTGCTCACATACTTTGATGTAGATGATCAAGATCTGCTTCAGGTATGAGATGCACCTAACACTAGATGTAGATAACACTACTGTGGTTTTCTCTGGTTTTGTTTCTTTCTTACTGTCCTGATTTCAGGCTTTCAACATAGAGCTTTCCAAAGGAACACTGCCTGAAATATCCACATTTTTATCCCTGTCTGCGGTTGTATCATTGCTTTCTTACATCATGGTTAAGTATAGTTATCTCACCATTGGTAGCACATAAGCAAGAGTTATTTCATCAATAGCAATACAATTATCAGTTTTTCTAGCTTTGCTCTCTCTCCTCCCCTCCACCCCCTCAAAAACTTAGGTACATTTGTGGGATGCAATACAGCTCTACAGCCTGGGGTATACCTTGCTTCCAAGTGATTTCACCCTCTGCCCCTCAGTTTCTTCACAGGTACCTGGCTTAGAGGGGTTTTGTGAAATGTATTAACATCCAAGCCATGGTTCTAGGTCCTCAGGTTTCCTAACTCCTCTACCAGCCTGACAAGGACTTAATGTGCCAGTCTTATTATTTTTAGCCACCAGGTAAAGAAGAATCAGTGGAGCAGTTTCTCCTTATCTGTACCTTCATGTAAAGTAAGGAACTGTACCCAATCTTTGGCCCTGTGAGAACCCACATAACCATTAGTCAACCAAAGAATTCCCAAGAAACAACCAGACCTTACAGATCCAAATGCTTCTCACCCCACCAGTACTCCTGAGGATCTTATCAACAGGAAACAAAAGCACTATACCACCATAATGAAGTGTCTGGCTTTTATTCTCTAATTAGAAAAGCCCCAAGATTGTAGCCCAGGGAACAGCTAAATATTTAGAATGCTAAAGAACTTACTAAGAACAGCTGCCCACTTCTACCCCACCCCCTTTGCCCAGTTGTTTACTCTGTTCCTGACCATTTCAGAAGAAAAAACTTTTGAGCAAATCTGCAAAAATGGGGACGTACTGCCCCCATGGAGACCTACCTCTCTAGAAGTGCAGTCTGACCATTTTGGGGAAAAAAAAATAGGAGCTGTTGTGTTTACAGATAAATGCTACCCTCAGCTAATACAAGAGGACAGGCACCAAAACAATAGGAGCACATCAGACTCCTTCACTTTCAGGTGGCTTCAGTCGAGGCCTGGATGCTACTCTCTTATGTTTTGAGAACTAACTTCCCTTTTAAAGTTCTAATCCTTTCAACTTGCCAGCAACCACTTTCATTTCTCGCAATCCAACCTACTCTGATTAAGCACACGTTCACAGGAAGAAAAAACAAAGTGACTGTTTTGAAAGAGACAGGCATTTAATTTTTGCTTCCATATCTTACCTATCTTGGTAGATGAAAGTCACTGCATCCTTCAGAATTTAAATCATCAGCATACTTCTCAGGCCACCAATGGGCCGCCCCTTTATAGCTCCTTTTAAAATGGCTTCCCCTCCCCCTCTATAAACCTTCCGATTACTTCAATTCTGAAATGCCATCAAAAGTGTTTGTCCAGGCTGTGCACTGGATTTCTACTCCCTAAAACTCTCTACTAAAGGCAACAATAAATTTTGAATATTGGGCCATGGAGTTTCCTTTTCTTTCTTACTCCACCTCCAGGGCTGCAAAGAGAGGACTTAAAGTAGACATAGGACGAAAACTGATCATTGACTGCAGCACACAGGCTTCACACTCACCTGACCCAGGTCAGGCACTCGGATACCAAAGCACGCCCAGCCAGGGATGCGAATCGTGCTCCTCTTAGTCAGCTCCTAAATATGTAGAAAAGAAAGACTGAATATGAGCCCATGCCGGGGTCTCTAACAGACACACTCCTAATTCCAGGTTTCTACTTTCTTTAACCTCCTTCTTTGCAGAGACCTCTCCACCCCCACTCCAAACTTAGTAGGCAAATTGGTGGAATCACTTGGAAGACAACAGGTAACTACGTTTATTTCCAGTGCCTAACTGGCAAGTGGGACCAGGCACGCACAAACTTCGAACTTGCTGGAGGCTGGAACTAAGGGAAGTGTTAGACAGATCCCAAAGCACTTGTTTCCCGGCGCAGAGGCCAAGTATCCGAAACCCGCATCCTCATTGGGTGTGAGCTTCGTCCACACTTCTCTCACCGCTCCCCCGGTTTTCTTCCGTTTTTTAAAACCCTCCCCACAGGGGCCCCCACGCATGCATTATTCTTCCAACCATGCAGCGCGAAAAACGGCTACATTTTTAGAAAAACTGTTTCCTTGGGCAGACTCACATAAGACACCCCCTCAACCCCTCCCCTCTAAAACAACTATTTCCTGCAGCTGCTCCAACAGTTTCCAACTTGGGGGAATGCCATTCCAGTGCAGAATGGGGAGTCTTCAAAGCCAGTTACGGGAGTCGGTGACATTTGGGTTTTTTTTTTTTCTTTAATCTAAAATGAGATCTCCCCTCCAAAACTGCTAGCAGTAAAAGAACTCCCCAATACATGCCAAGTGCATGCAAATCCACCAAGAACTCCCAGAGAGCGGGGCCAAAACTTCTGCGCCCGGGAGGGCGAGTGCCAACTCCCCGCGCCCTCTGCCCGGCCCCATCCGCTACCTTGGTACCCGGGAAGCCGCGCCGGGTTAGGGGAGCAGGACGAGGAGAGAGGTTAGCAGCCGCTGGGTAATCCCATGTCCGCGAAGAGGGAGCTCGTTCCGTTAGGATGGAAGCGGAACACCCACACCTCCTCTCGGCGTGCGCTTTCTCTCTCTCCACCCCCTGCCTCCTCCTCCTCCTCCACCACCACCACCTCCTCCTCCTCTCCTCCCACCCCAGCAGGCTTGAGGAAACGCTTCAGCAGAACATCCACATGGTTACTGCACTTTGAAGCAGCTCCCAGCGGCTTATATAGGCCGGGTAGCTCCCTGGGCAATGTAGTCCGAGTCCCAGGTCGTGCCGGCGCCTGGGGCTGCTGGGCGGGACTACAAGTCCCAGAATCCCCTAGGCTCCCGGGCTGGGCTCTAAATAGACGCGCGCGGAGACGGGGAGGGGTGGCCGAGGTGGGAGTGTGAGTCTGCAGTCGGGACTCGCCGGAATTTTGGTACTTGGGACCCACAAAGACACCCTTCCGGAGCGTCCCCAACCTTTCAGAACTCTTCTCTTTCGGCTGTCCCCCTTTCCTGGAATCCAGGTGTCATTAGGAGCCGGCGAGGGAGGAGGAGCTCGGATTACTGCTTTGGGAAGTTTTTGCAAGCTGTTACCCACCCCACCCCCGCTTTGAGTCCCCTGAGCCAAGAATTTCAGAAATCCAGGGCACAAAAACGCCAGTGTTTGCGGTCACGATTAAAGGCGTGAGGTTGTCTGTATTTAATCTGCTCCGCCCTGCTAGTGTTTGCACGAAAAACCAAGTCTGAGAAGCGACGGTCCACGCAAGCGGGGACACAGGCAAGTCGCATGAGAGCACTTTTCTGAATCCTAACTGCGTTCGTCTGTCGAAGCCCAGCAGGAGGTAAAAGAAACGCAAACCTCTCCTGTGCACAAATAAAGGAACTGTGTTGTGACTTGCCAGTGCCGCGATCGGGGAGTCAAAAAAAAAAAAAAAAAAAAAAAAAACGCGACCTCGGTCCTGACCCTGCTTCTAGCAGCCCCTCTGCTCCTGGAAGCAGTAAATGCTTAAGTAAATAAACCGCAAACCAGAAAAATAAGGGCTTCGGAGCGAGGCTCCCTCCGACCTCTCCAAAAGGGGCATCTGGGACGAAGTGGGTTTCGACCCACCGCCAAGTCGTGCCTGGGCTCCGGGACAAGATGCTTTGGGCTTTGGCTTTTGGAAGGCAAGGAAGGGCTTCACTTGGAGGCAAAGTCAGCCGGGTGCCTTCCCTGCCTCAGATGACGTATAGTCATTCCACAAACATCTCCCGAGTGTCTGCTGGGTGCCAGGCACAGTGCTAGGTGCTGGGGCAAATGGTGAGGCAAACATATCACAGCACCGGGGCAGGAAGTGCTTGCTGCCACATAAAATCGGGGCGAATGGCAACAATAGTAATAATGATTTTATTAAGCCCAGAGCACATGTACTTTCTATGCATCGCGCTATTGAGTTTTACTAACTCTAGGTATGTTTATGATCTCTGTTTGCCAGGTGCACAACTGAGGGCTCACAGAATTCCTAACTTCTCACCATCACAGGGGAGTTAAGTGGTTGCAGCCCGCCTTCCAGTTCCAACCTCTGACTGTACCAAGTCCTTGTCTTTGGGGACACCCACCACCACCTCCTTAAAGGAGCTCCCTTCCCATCTTAAGAGCAGCCTCTAAGCCCTTCAGCAAGTTATTTTCATCTCTTTGCCCCAGTTTTGCCATCTTAGAGAAGAGATGCTCTTTAGAATTTGCCTAATTTCTATCTGGACTCCTTGACTGAAGAGTCTTGCAAAACTTTAGCAACAAATTAGAGGAGCATCATAGTTAATAATTATCATGGACAAAATAAAATAAGCACCCAAACTAACAATAATCACTGGCATTTATTGGGTGCATGTCCCATGCCAGGTATTGTTTTCAACTCTTCATGTATCTCATCTCATCACATTCTGTGAATGAATCATTTTTTACCTATGAGAAAACAGACACAGAGAGGTTATGCCCCCAAAGTCACACAGGTGGCTTGGCTCATGCTTGAACTCATGATATTAACTATTACCGCTAGTGTCTCCCAAACATGACCATATGTATTGTATTTTGTATTTCCCTGCTCACATAGGCATTTAAACCAGTCCAGGAATGGACAAAGTTATGAAGGTGACAGAGGTTAGGTTCTTTGTAGTCACTCTTGGATCTCCTGTCTTCCAGCACTGTCCCTGCTCACTAAGCACTAGGCTCTCAAGCTACCCTTCCCCATCACCAAGAAAATCCCCATCTGGCCTCAGCAAAGGAGGCCACACCTGCCACATCTGCCTTCTTTTTGTCCCCCCATGAAGACACTTGTTCTGTTTTCAAAGGATCTTTGACTTTACCTTTCAAACAAATCAGTCTATAGTAGCATAACTGGTAATAGTATTTCTGAATCAGAAACACAATGGAATTCTAACATGACTGTCCTAAAGAATACTTTGAGCACTAAGATGGGCAATTTTCATCCTCATCAGACCATGGACACTTGTCCCCTACCTGCTTTCTCCAGCATTTTCCTCTTAGACCACAAGTTTCATTGAGGAAAGGAACAATGTCTTATTTATACTTTTATTCCCTACTTCTCCTGACCCAGAAGGGCTTAGTCTTCAGATGTGAAAAAAAAAAAAATTGGTAAAACTTTTTTTTTTTTTTTTTTTTGCAGTACTGGGGGTTGAACTCAGGGCCTTCACCTTGACCCCCTCCATCAGCCCTTTTTTGTGACAGGATTTTTGAGATAGGGTCTTTTGAACTATTTGCCTGGACTGGCTTCAAACCACGATCTTCCTGATCTCTACCTCCTGAGTAGCTAGGATTACAGGCGTGAGCCACCGGCACTCAGCTATTAAGACTTTTTAATGGAAGGTATGTCAGGCATATGGCAAGTAATATGATGATATATTTTGAGTATGCAAGCCATGTAGTCCTGTTTTCTTTGTCTGTGTGTGCAGATAGCACTATTCAACACTTTGCAAGTTTGGAAGATTCTAAATCACTAGAAAGTAATGTTTTTCTAATTTTGCTATGATTTGAAGAGGTTTTTTTATGATGCATGATTAGTGAATTGTGCTTTTTCATGTCAGAATAAAAGGGTCATCTGCACACTCATTCTCATTATCAGTAGAATTGGTATTTTTCCTCCTGGAAAAATTTTATAGACCTATATTTCCAGTAGAGTAGTCACTGGCCATTTAGGCACTTAAGATGTGGCTAATTCTAATTAAGATGTAAAGTAGGTGTAAAATACACATAGAATTTTAAAGGATTCATATACAAAAGAGGGAAAGTATCTCAATAATTTGTATATTGATTGCATGTAAATGATTATAACATTTGACATGTTGGTTGAAAATAGATTATTAAAATTAATTTTGCCTGCTTTTTAAATCGCTGGTAGAAAATTAAAAATTACATATGCAGCTCATTGCATATTCTAGTGGACAGCACTGATCTAGAAAACTAAAACTGATTCCTAAGATTATAATTCAAGATGATAACAACCACGGAAATTGCCATTTATGACCTTGCCCTTGAAATACCATGCACGGAAGTGGGAGGGCTTTGCAGAGTCAGGATAGTATTATAGACAGAGCAGAAGTCTGAAGAAGGTACGAGACTAGCACACCAGCCTACCCCTAGGGAAGCCCTACAAATAGAAATAGTTTCATCAGCAGTACACAGCTGAAAACTGCAACTAAATTCATCTGCCTATAAGCCCACCCTCAAGTACTGTCCTGATTAAGAGAGCAAGATATGCTGGAGAAAGCAGGAATAAGAAAAGTGAGTTAACACTCAGCTGTACCCTTGGTATCCAAGTTTGTTTGTATCTTGATAGAGTGATGCCACTAGTCCTTACCTTGCCAACTCACTGGCTCAGTGAATTCTAGGACATAAAAGGGCGTTCAAAGCTCACCTGCGATTTACAGAAATAAGAGAACATTATCAACAAGGAGACAGAAAAGGCTGATGTGTCCTGATACTGTACTCAGCTCCAACCCAAGCCATAGATTATTGGGACTTCACTATTTCCAATTTTCTCCCAGGTACACACTTCAATTGGCTATAGCTGTCAAATGAGCCTTGAGTGCTTTAGTTAATAGCATCTCTAAAATGGCAAGGCAGAATGTCAATACCCAAGTCATAGAACTGATCTACATTTTGGTCTGATAGACTGTCATTGACCATGTCAAATATCTGTGAAGAGAAATAGCTATTGTATAGCCCGTTACCCAGCTAGTCTTGTTAACCTTCTGTGGTAGATGGATGGGACCATAGTCCTCTTTGAGAATTTTATAAAACCTTGGACACTTGACCAGCACAGCACAAACACTAAAGATTGTAGCACTAGTCCTTAGAGTTTCTTGTACCAGCCCCTAAAACTCATTCATAGATACCCTACAAGGTAGATCATTTATTAGCTCTATCTTTCTGTGATTTTGTCTTACCAACCAGACAAGCTCTTTGAAAACAGGGACTTGGTCCTGTGTTTCTGTACCTTTCGTAGCATCTAGCTCACTGCTAGAAAACTAGTGTTCAGTACTTCCTCAGTAATTAACTATTGGGACTCCAAAAGTGACCAGAAGAAATGACCTACAGATACTTTGCAGTACTACTTGAGAAAAGTGGAGTTGGTATTCAAAGAAGAGCAGGAGAGAGAATAATTTTGTTATAGAGTTAGGAAAAGTAAGATGTTCCCTGAATGCAGACATCAAGGCATCTTGTGAGGTGAATGGAAAACACCAGTTGGGAGAGGCCCAACTTTTTTTGGGAGAGGCCCAACTCTTTTTTTTTTGTTCTATCTCTAGAGTGCAGAAGAGGCTGTTGGTCAGTCACCATATGAGTAGAGGGAAGTTGGACAAATTTTCAATGACTTAACATCTGGATGACAGTATAACAGCTACTAAAAATGCAGAATTTTGTCTAGGGACATAGTTCAGTGGTAGAATATTTGTCTATCACAAGGCTCTGACTTCAATCCCCAAGAGAGCAAAAAAAAATTCTTTTTTAAGAAGTTACTACTTTCACCACATGGAAGTGGCAAATATACCATTTTGGATGGTAACGTTGATGATATTGCTTAGAATCATGTATGCATTATTTTCATATGAAACATGCAGAACCAGTGGTTTATTATCAACTCAGACGTTTTCTCCATCTCCCAACCTCCCATCTGCAAGGCTTCATCTATCTATTTATCTGCTAGATAAGCTAGGTCTGGA